GGAAATCCAATGGCAAATGGTGAACTTGCGTTGATTTCACTGATCTCAATAAAGCCTGTCTAAAAGATAGTTTCCCTTTGCCCAGAATCGATTAGCTCGTTGATGCCACTTCCGGGTAGAAGCTGTTAAGCTTTATGAATGCCTACTCGAAGTATAATCAGATCCTGATGTATGCACCTTACGAGAAGCATACTCGTTTGTCATAGATCGAGGGCTTACTGGTATAAAATCATGCCTTTTGGTCTGAAAAACGCTGGGGAAACCTATCAGCGTTTGGTTAACCGTATGTTTTGCAAGCAGATCAGGAAATTAATGGAAGTCTATGTCAATGACATGCTGGTCAAGTCGCATATCACTTAAGATCACATAGCCAATCTCGTAGAGATGTTCAGCATACTCCAGAGATATATAATGAAACTTAATCCTCTTAAATGTTCATTAGGAATATCCTAACGAAAATTCCTAAGGTATATGGTTAACCATTGGGGAATTGAAGTCAACCCTAAAAAGATCCAAGCTCTCGTAGATATGAAGAGTCTCACCAACTGAAAGCAAGTTAAGAGCTTAAATCGGAGGATAGCAACTCTCAGTCACTTCATATCAAGAGTGACAGATCGTTGTTTCCCATTCTTTAATATACTTAGGGCCAACAAGAGGTTTGAATGACTTCTGAATGTGAGCAAGCCTTCCAAAGTATAAAAGAGCATATCAGAGAGCCACCTCTTCTACCCAAACCACTTCCCAAGGAAATCTTATTTCTTTACCTTTCTGTCTCTTAGTATGTAGTCAGCGTAGCTCTCATCCAGGAAAAAGGTAGAATTCAGTGGCTAGTATATTATATGAGCAAGCGACTAGTGGACACCAAGACATGCTATCAAGAGATGGAACGATTAGCTTTTGCCTTGCTGATCACTTCCAGGAAGTTCCGACCTTATTTCCATGCTCACAACATCCATGTATTAACCAACTACCCACTCAGACAAGTTCTTTAGAAGCCGAAGGCTTTGGGTAAGTTACTTAAGTGGGCTATGGAATTAAGTCAATTTGATCTGCATTACAGACCAAAAACTGTAATCAAAGGGTAGGTTATTGCTGATTTTATTTCGGAGTTCTCTTATCAACTAGATTGGGAATCTGAATGGCCAACCAATGAAGTTATCCAAGAAACTGTTCGAAACTTGTTAACTTGGAGCCTCTATGTTGATGGGTCTTCGAACAGGAGAAGAGTCAGAGCTGGCCTTCTGCTCATCAGTCCTGAAAGGACTCGCATTTATAGAGTCCTCAGGTTTGGATTCAAAGCTATGAATAATGAGGTTGAATATAAGGCACTATTTGCTAATCTGCGGCTAGCAAGAGAAATGGGTCAGATATGATCGACATTAATAACGACTCCTAATTGGTTGTTAATCAAATTTTGGAAGAGTACCAAGCCAAAGAAGAGAATATGATCAGTTATTTGAAGAAAGCTAAGGTCGCGCTCAAGCCCTTCAAACATTATACGATCAAGCAAATCACAAGAGACAGTAACTCTATCGCGGATGCTTTGGCAAAGATAGCCTCTCGTTGGATTCTGATGCTCCAAACAGTAATCTGATTTGATACATCAAGGTTCCCAGCATCAGCTTGCCTGAGCAGGTCATAGCTATAATCGAATTTGTTTCTTGGATGACTCCATTTATCTCGGAGATGAGATTTTGCCTAACAGTAAGACTGAGGCAAGACTCCTATGAACTCGAGCTGCTCGTCGCACTCTCATCGGAGATCAGTTGTATAAGTAAGAGTTTAGCACTCCCTTCCTTTGATGTGTGACAGATGATGAAATAGACTACATCATGAGAGAGATCCATAAAAGGATCTATGGTAATCACACTGCTACATGATCTCTCGCCAATAAAATTATCCGCAAGGGATATTATTGGCTCTTGCTTCATGAAGATGCCTTCAACTTTGTGAAGAAGTGTGATAAGTGCCAAAGATTCGCGAACATCTCGCGAGCTCCTTCTTACTAGTTAACGACAATGACCAGTCCTTGGCCATTCTCTATGCGGGGAATTGATCTCATCGGGCCCATCCCAATTAGTAAAGGGGATGTCAAGTATGCAGTAGTCATAGTGGATTATTTCAATAAGTGGGTCGAGGCAGAGCCTTTAGCCACGATCACTACAAAAAAGCTTAAAGACTTCATCTTCAAGAATATAGTGTGCCGCAATGGGATTCCTCATACACTCATCTCTGATAATGAGAAGCAAATCGACAATTAGGAGTTCAAGCAGTTTTGCGAAAAGCTAGGATTCATAAGAAATTTGCCTCAATAGCAAGACCACAGGCTAATGGTCAGGTTGAAGCTGTCAACAAGACTATTAAGCACACCTTGAAGGCCAAGCTTGGCGCAACCAAGGGCAATTAGGCCGATGATCTTTCAGAAGTTCTATGGGCATATAGAACAACTCCGAGAACTTCTACTTCATAAACACCCTTCTTACTAGCATATGGTCGTAAGGCAATGGTTCTAGTGGAAGTAGGGACTGGTTCTCTACGGAGGGAATTTTATAATAAAATAGACAATGAAGCACTCATACGTGCAAGTCTGGACTTAGTGCCCAGTGGTTACGAGCCTCCCTCTCCAACTGTCCTCGCCTTAGAGGTGTCCATCGCTCTTAGAGTCTAAAATGTGTGACATGTAAAGGTGACTCAGTCTCCATTTACATTGCCCCTGGTTTCTCTTCTATAGCTGCCAAAACCTAAAAATTCTTAAGGGTGGTTTTCTAAAGATCTATGCCCTGGGTTTCAACTCTTAAGAGTGTTTCCTTTTAAACACAACCTGAGGATGTTCACTGTCTAAATCTATTAGACGTTTATGCCCACCATTATTGTAAAAACTAAGTTTTTCAATAGCAATGAAAAAGAGAAAATGAAAAGAATTTTCTTTACCTCTTGGTTGCTAGGAATAGACGTTCTATCGTACCGACGAGTGCGCATTAACCAGGGAGAGGATGAACTAATCTCTTGAGTGTAAAAACGTTGTTTTTCTCTCTAAAAGTTTAAGTTATGTGAAAAACTTGAAGTGGGCTTAGGGTTTTATAGGGACGAAGACGACACTTGGTTTTCTTTTATAAGCGACGTTTCGGTGGGACGCGTTAACAATCGTTGATCGTGATCACGTATCAGCAATCTTTGTGAAGAGTAATCATCACGCTTCATGGAAATCAACCGATGTTTCCCTTCATTGAAATCACCAAACATCAGCGTGATTAACTCCTCCACATTAAATGCACCCTCATCCGCATTTAATGCTTCAAAAGAGAATATCATTTCAGCATGGCTTGCATTTAGTGCTCATGGCTGGTATTCATTGCTCAGAGACATGTCTGTTAGATAAAGCTTATTTTATTGATCGAGATAGTTGTCAAGCATAACGGATAACATCTGAAGAGATCGTTCGAATAAAACACTCTTCTCTTTGTGTCAAACTCGAAGCGAAATGATTATCAGTTTTCGATGGCAAAATACGCTAAGTGTTTTCAGGTTGTTAAAGTCAAATAGAGTCAAAACACGTTGTTATAGCATTGAGCAAGATTTGTCATGGGTCGCTGAACCTTTTTAGAATGATCGCCTAAGGTTGCTTGTGTAACTCTCGAAGATTCATGTCATTACCTTTTTCCAGTTCGTTGGTCAAGTAAAGCTATCAGCATCATGTCGTTTGTAACAATGTGACTGTTCTTAACTAATGGCTTGGGCAAATATTCCTCATAATAAGTTAGGTTGCAGCATAATCATGAAATTCTCAAGATTCAATCCTTGGACCTTAAGAACTAGGGAGCTTCTGTTGTGTCTAAAAAGTCAAGGTTACGTAAGCTTACGTCAATAAGCACCAATTAGAGTTTAGGAAGGCTTTGCGCCATCCAGGAACAGCCACATCGCTCTACGATAGAAAGAGTATGGTTGTCATCAACTTGGTAGATTCAAGTCTTGCCGATGAGTGAATAAAGGCTGCACATTTGTCTAAGCCCCAAGTAATTTGAGGATATTTCCTAAGTTATTGGCCAATGGGACGCAAGTAGGGACTTGCACGGCACCTACCCACTTGCAAATTTGTAATTATTACCTTGAATTCCTCTACTATAAATAGAGGACTCCCTCTTTTATTTTTAGGATTCTGATATTGGACCCTCATTATGATTGTAATCTTTATTTCAGAGCAAAGATACCCTAAGAAAAAGAGACTAACTTAATATTCAATCTGAATATTCAATTATTGTACCTATGTTCATTGTTCGCTATATGCGACCTACTGTAATCTCTTATATATAAAATAGCAGTGGATGTAGGATTCGTTTCAAGCATCCGAACCACTTTAAAAATCATCTTTCATTTGTTATTTAGTCTTTACATTAGATTATCATATTTATTCATGTGTAATTTGTAAGAGCTACTTAGCATTTTGCACGTGCGAGTCGTTGGTGTCAAAATCAAGCATCAATAATATGTGAGAAATATTGGCAATTCGCCCGTTGCTAGACCTATATCAACGTTTAAATATGTGTAAAAATCCTTTGTTAAAAACCAATTTTATCTCGTAATAAAAAAAGAAACAAAATATTGAAAACGTTTGGTTGAACATACGGAGAGATATATAACTGAAATACAACTGTTACAAGTGGCAGGGTTTATATATATATATATATATATATATATATATATATATATATATATATATATATATATATAATATATATATATATAATCCAGAGGCATATCTTATATGATGACCATTTTGAAGCTTTAGAATTCCTTTATTTTGATACGGTGAAATATTATTAGACACATGGTATTATGTAATTGGGGCATCCAAAGGTTTTGACATAGTGAAATATTTTAGATACGTGGCATCGTGTAATTGGACATCGAAAGTTCTAATCAAAACCTGATTAATTTTCACACACAAACCATTCACATTCACATACAAATGCTTCAAACGTGTTATACCCGTCACATGCAGCAGAAAACAGGTTTGCCCGCTCTAAATCAGTTTCGCGGTCTCTCTCATTTTTCCACCAAAGCTGCAGAGAAATTTCATCTACTTAGTTGGAGATTCAGGTCTAGCTTTTACGTTTTTATTTTTCAGCTCCCAAGAGTTTTCATCACCTGATCTAGAGACCATGCCCATTGTTGCTAAAACTGATGTAGCAGAAGCAACACCACCTGATAATTTTACTATTGATGTTTCTAAGTATGAAGATCAGAATCTGGAGCCTGCAAAAGGTAACTATTTTGGCTTCTCAGAATTGGGATTTTGCTTTTATTTCTATATAGCTTGCATGATAACAATTAATGAGCTGTCTCTTTTCTTGATGTTTCAATGTTTCGGAGCCGGATGATGAGAATGATACATTTCAAAAAGGTAATGAATTAATAAAATTTGGTTTTTTGAGGTTGGGTTTTTTATACTTTCACATTTTTATGTTCTACTTTTTGTAGTATTGCAATGCTCCAGGTCATTAACTCTGGGAGTGTACTACTATTATGATGTCTCCAAACCAATAATTATTTCGTGATTGTAATTCTGATAATTGTGATGGATTTCACTGCTTATTTGGTTTTTGTTTTAAACGTGATACTAATGAAGGTTGGTAGTTGTGCAAATTTTTGTGATATGGCATTTTGTATTGATCCATTGCCATTTATTCTTCTTTAGTGGCCCTTCTGCTTGGTACTAGAATCTTATATTTTTGTTTAGTCTTCTGAGACTTATAACTTGTAAGCGTGTTGTGAGTTTTCTGATTTGATTGAAGTGATTGGTGGTTGTTACCAGATAGCGGAGAAGAAAAGTGTGATATTTTCACTGGGGATTGGAATTTCACACTCTCATGCATTTAATTTGAATTTAAATTGCTATGTGGAGGTTTTAGTAAAGTACAATATTATATGCTTATGAATTACAAGATTATGCATGCCAGATTTAACTTTAAATTTGTAATTTATAGTGGAAAATACATAATTATTATGCTAGAAGACAGAAGTTTGAAACTCGTATGAAAATATGAGTTATGACATTCAGTAACTGGAATGACAGATAGATGTGTAATTTTGGTAGAAGTCCTGTTATTACTCACTGTTTATGGTACTGTATATATTAAGGTTTTGTTTTTCATTTTATTTAGGATGTTTGTTGTGCTATGAAGGGAGGATTGATAGGATTAGCTGCCGCCACGGTTGGGTTGACTTCTGAAGCAGCTTAGCATCTTGAGGTGAGCTGTATATTTTAATGTTGTGATGTTCATTTAATCAAATTCAAATATTTATTTGTGGATTGTTAAACTTTGGAATAGTTGTTTAATGTCAAACGTTTGAACATAGTTGAAGGTATTATTATAAGTTTGAATTAGGGTAATCTTTTTTTTGTCACTATTTGTTTATCTATTTATAACATATGTCAACTCATCTATCTGAAATTTTGAATAAATTTCTTATTCCATTTTGAATGACTCATTTATTTATCACTTAATGACTTTCCAATGTGACAGTGCAAGCTTTTAGGAGTTCTTTTGAGCAATCTCCAAAGAAGGCCAAGCAAGACCATGACAATGGCAACACTTATGGAAAAGCTGGAGAATCTGATGTTATAGATGTGGAGTTTGAAGAATTCTGTAAAGCTATTGAGGCTAATCTCTCTATTGAACCAATGGTTGAGATTCTTGAAGCCAATGACCAGACTCCTCTGGTCCAGATCCTGTTGTTGTCACTAAATGGTGATTTCAATTAGAACATCCACTAATTTACATATTTTTCATCTATATATAAACCATGTATGTGGGTTGAGATTCTTATCATTTTAAGAATGTTTTTTATTTTATTGAAACAGCCAAGACATGCTATTTTATGGATCGTTAGGGAGATGCCCAATTTGCAATAGTAAATTGGAATTTGATGCTAAAAGATATACTTGCAAAGGAATGTACAGTGAGTGGTCTAAATGCACATTTAGAACAAGACATCCATCGAGGAGGGAGGAGCCAATCAAAATACCAGATTGTATCCTCAAATCTGTTGATTCAGACATATATTTCTGGACCATACATTCTTTCTCTTTACAATTAAGACTAGACTGCCTGTCTAATGTTATATTTCTGTGTATTTATTTTAGTTGTATTTCTCTCTGCAATAGTTGATAAAGAAGTATCAAATGACTCGAAAATGGGATGAAAAGCTTGGTTTTGAAGAAGATGAGGGCAGTGAAGATAACCACAACCAGAACAACACCAACAACATTGAGAACAACAATGCAAATATGGTATTTTTTTTTTATTGTTTAAATTCTCATTTTTAGTCTCTCTGGTGATATATAACAGAATAAAGTGTAAAGATCAAACTCGGTTGTTCATTAGCAATGTGTTCAGGATAGTTGTGGGGAAGATTGTGTTGAAGCTGTGATGGTGGAGACGGCTGGGGAGTGTTTAAGCTGTGAGTTTGGTTAACTGTGCTAATTAATCTACTTTATTGGGGACTAACTGTAGCTCTGTTTGTTGTATTGGTGCTTCAAGTGTTTGTAATTGTTGTTATGAATTGTTGCCTAATGTTTAGACTTGATGTCCATACGATGCTAATGCTGTTTAACTTCTTGGCTTCTTTCGATTTTTTGTTTCTATACACATATTTGTGTTTGCGCATGCACATACTAGCATCTTCTTCCTTTCTAATCTATAAGAATTATGTTTTAAAGTTTACTGCCTGTTTCATTCTGATTAAGGGTTTTATTTATTGAAACTCTGAAAAATATGCCCTGATTTTAAGGTGCATGACCAGTCCCCAGGCATGTTGTGGGAGAAACTAAGTTGGAAGCTTCAAAAGAGGGTCGTACTCTTAAGGATTTCAAGTATGGATGTGTTGGTTACTTAGTATACTTGGACAAATTCATCAACTGATAAGATGGATAAAGAAGCAGAATTTCCCTTCTGTGTTGGGCTTGAGGTGATGCATTATGATCTTTTTTTTTTTTATTGTTTCCTACTCTATAGCATTTTGTTGTGAACTCTAGGGATCCGTGACATATTTTCTCACTCATTTTTAATAATATGTCACTATGTCAGTGTTATTGTGGTTGCTGAGATTGGGTTTTTATGGTGTGCTATAGGCTACATGTTTGAAGAAACATCTGAAGAGAATAATTCATGCATTTTTAAATGGATATTACTTTTATGATTAAACTTTCTTTTATAATTCATGATTTCTAAGATATGAGACTCTAACTTTGTCACAGTTAATAGATTTTCCTTTTACTTATTTACTTTTGGTCAGTAGCTGTTATTTTCATCATTTGAAGAAGCACGTAATGTTTACATCATTGAAATATCTACAGTACTGTTCAAAAAATGCTTTAAGTTATCCTATGCAGAGCAACTTTCTGCAAATCCACTTTCTATAAAAGCCTCACCAAGTTAATATTTGGGTCTATTGTCAAAATGAGGTTCATTTGCGGGTCAGGCACTATAGTCTTTTTTGTCACTTTTCATCTTTAAAGTTGCTTCTTCCCCTCAGTTAGAATCACAATTATATTCTGCTGGTAGATTTACAGTTTTCTCTTTCCTTTTCTTCCACCAACTCATCAATGGTGTGAATTATCCCTTGAGTAAGCTGTGCTCTTGAGCTTTATATAATCATCCTTCAAACCTTGCTTACGCCTTTGAACCATTGTTTGTTTATGAGATTTCATGTTATTAGCTTCTTTGAAAAGAAGTAAGACAGGATTTGTAAGTCTCATTCTTCTATGTTTTTGTTTTTTAATTTGTTTGTCCATGTACGAACTTACTAATTAGAATCTCGACTTTATGCAGCATGTCAGGCTTGATAATGCTTCAACCTCAACTGCCAATCAGCTCATTCCACTTACAACAGCAACCTATACACCACCTCTTGAGCAACCGGAAGTGGTCATTCCAAGGTGTAACCAGCCATTGCCCCACTCACTGATGCTTACTTTAAACCATTGTTTGTTTATAAGATTTTATATTATTATTGATTTATTTCTAAATGTACATTGATTCAGTTTTGATTCCTTTATTATGCAGCCAACCTTTAGCAATGATGGTCACAGTGAGCATTGATGGGGGTGACATTTGGGATAATTTAATGAACACTTCTTTTTTGGTGTAGACACAGTACGAACCATTGAAAAAAAAAAAAAAAACTGAAATATTATCCTTTTTATTTTGTTTTCCTGTGTCTTATAAACAATCTTATATTGCAAAGTGTTCATCAATGAAGCATATTTTATTTTCAAAAAGTTGCAAACTTACATTCTTAGATAGACTATACATGTTTTTGTTGTGGACTTTGTAGCCAGTATGTGTTTTGTGGTGAATAGAGTTGGTGATGGTGATGAAGAATGAAAATTTTTTTTTCTCTTTTAATTTTCTTTTATTTTTGCTCATTTCCTGGGCAACTTTTAAAATGATGGAAGATTAACTGTTGGACCTCAAAGCAATTGTCATACTCCACACAACAACTACTAATTTTAAGAGGGGCATAATTGTTACTTCAATTCTATTATTATGTCCCAAATTGTTTTAAGAAAACTCCTCTTCTTCTGCTTTGAAAATGAATATATTCCTATCATTAAAATGTTTCATTATCATTACATTCTATAATTAATTTTTTTTTTTTTTTTTTGTCAAATCCACTTTTATAAGCAAACCACGCAACACGCGGGCGTTTCAACTTGCGTGTAGTAATAAAAAAAATTACTATTATTAATTATTTTATTCACTGTATCAAAAAAACTTACAATAAAATATTGTTTTTTAAGATAAAATTTATATGCAATTAAAATAAAATATTAATTATTAATTGAACATTGCATTAAATACATACTACAACAGATGTGGTAATATATTATATCAATCAAAACAATTACAAAGACAGTGTATACAATAAAATACAAATAGCAATAAATTGAAGTATCAAAATTTGCAAAAAAATGTAATGTCAAAATCAAATTCATAACCAAATAAACATGATTCAAAAGATAAACAATATGTTGATGTCGAAAACCAATTAAACTAGTTGAAACATAAAAACGCCACAGTTTTCTTAAAACTTTCATTTCTTAAACTTCAGTCCTTATCCTAAAAGGGAGGGATGAAGAAAAACTTTTCTAGAATATTTTGACATGAAAACCATTAATTTGTACAAAATTTGTAGAATTGTCTCGTGTCTGATTTTTCAAATAAAATTATTTAAAACTAGTTTTCAAGAAAAAAGGCAAAAAACAAAAAAAAAAAAAAAAAAAAAAAAAAAAAAAAAAAAAAAGGAAAAAGGAAAAAGAATTGTTATCCTTTCTAAATTTTTAATATAACAAAGTAAGTCGTGTCTTAGGAAATAATTTTTTCTTTTTGTATAATGTTGAGATAAATAATATTGTAAACATTTCATTCAACAATCAACATAAAAGAAAATGTAAAATCTATTTGAGAGAGAGAGAGAGATAGAGCTACCCGAAACGGAAGGTTCAGATGCAATGATGAGAAGAACTATTAAGCAAGCCAATTTGAAGGATGTTTTATCCATTTTTCTAAGTTGGTGTTCTATATCAAAGAGATAGATAGAGTATATATAATACTCCTACGTAGCATGAATATATGTGTATATATATATATATAGTATATGAATCTAGTTAATTATCTTGAGATTTTGTAGTTATTATTAAATTATTATAGATAGAGGTTATGAGAATCTAGAAACTCACCACAGAATCTTGAAGAAACCAATGAATGAAAAGAAATTTTTTGACGAAGCTATTTTCTTAATTAAGTTGCCTAACTGATGGTGGGTTCTTATTATTCAACCCGTGAGAGATGAGGAAGTTTTAAACACCCCTAGGATTTTGTAAAAGTATTATATGTCCCCCTATCAATTAAGCAGCCTACATCTTCGGAATAAAGATTTATCATGATAAATCGCGTAGGTTGTTTGGTCTAAGTTAGAGTACATATATTGACAAGGTATCAAAGAAATTTAGTATGAAAGAATTCAATAAAAGATTTCTTCTGATATCACATGATGTCTATCTCTCTAAGGATATGTGTCCTAAAACACACGAGAGAGATAGAATGAAGAGAATCCCATATGTGCCAACAATTGGATCCATATGTATGCCATGTTATGTACTAGGATTGATGTCTCATGCGCATTAAGCATTTGTAGCAGACATCAATTGGATCCAGGCGAGCGTCACTAGATAGCTATCAAAAACATCCTTAAGTACCTGAAAATGACTAAGGATATGTTCTTTGTTTATGGAGGGGAACATGAGCTCACTGTAAGAGGATACAATGATACTAGTTTCCAAACAAACAAAGATGATCATCGCTCGCAATTTGGGTTTGTGTTTTGTCTCAATGGGGGTGTAGTGAGCTAAAAGAGCTCCAAGCAAAGCACTGTAGTAGATTCAACAATGGAAGTTGAGTATATCGCATTATCTGATGCGGTTAAAGAAGCAGCTTGGATTAAGAAGTTCGTCACTGAACTTAGTGTGGTCTCCACTATTGTTGATCCAATAGAAATCTATTGTGACAACAATGGAGCAATAGCTCAAGCGAAGAAGCCACAGTCTCATTAGCGATCCAAACACATACTTAGACATTACCATCTCATCAGAGAAATGGTTGAGAGGAAAGACGTGCAGATCAGCAAAGTACAAACTGTTGACAATCTTTCCGACCCACTGACAAAGCCTCTGTCGTAGTAGAAGCATGAAAAGCAGTTAAGGACATTCGGTATTAAATACATGAATGATTGGTTATAGTATAAGTGGGAGATTGTTAGAGTAGGTACCCTAGAGCCAATCAATTTTGTAGCATTGACTCTTTGTAATAATGTTTGTTTATCAATAAAAGGAACTTTTTTCTATGTCGTGTAAATAATAATTGCATGTATTTATATATATCCTTAGGATGGAAAAACCTTGACGAGGGTCTCTAGTGGTTCAAATTTTGATAGTGAGAACCCTATGATCACATATGGTGGTCATTTTAGAAATGTATGTAGCCCCAGTATTATTCTGACCAAGGACACAGATAATACGGTATGACTATCATAGTGTTAAATGACCCTATCATAAGGCAATGACTAATCCACTTATAAAGATTATTTGTTGACAACCTGGTGCAGTGCATGAGTACTTGCTGTAGGCAAGTTCATTAGACAGACCCACCAGAGGATTCCGTATGGATGGTAATCCTAGTGTCTGTGGAATAAGTCCTCTAACGGATGGCAGTGCATGTGATCCTTAGACTTGTTATCATCAGAGCGTCTTGTACACCAATTGATGTAGTTTGACATTAGCCCAATGTAGTCTTATTCAGGACTATCAGAATGGTAGTGATTAGCTACATCGAAAAGTATATCAAGACTATGGTGGATCGACAAAGGATTCATTACTATTGGGTACGGGAGAAGTTATCTCACTGCGCAATTCAGTAAATGGTAATTACACTAAATCTATGGCTACAGTGGGATTGAGTTGTTGCTCAATCTAATTTATTATTCTGGTCATTGGTTCAGTAACTGAATACAAAGATATCAAGGTTATCTGAGGTTGACACTATTTTTGTGCCTCAGCCTTGATGAGATAACGAATGATAAAAGGATTTGATTGCATGATAACCATATCGTTGATAGGTAGCTATTTCACTGAATTCGAATCTATCGGGTGACCTTGATGTCTTGCAAGGGGTCAATCTTGGTATGTCTGTAGTGAGACGATTGATAGGTGTCAATCGCAAGACTACTCACTGCCGATATGATAAGGGGTCTACAAGTCTGACACTTAGAAGATAATTTAAGAATTAGTTTGTGAAAGGGGTATTTTCATCTTTTTGGATAAAATAGTATTTTGGTAATCTCATAGTGGAATTAAATTTATTGAGGTTGTTATCTGTATTCAATTTTAATATTGAAATTAAAATTGGTGAGATTATATTTCAATATATGTGTACATATATATTTAAATGAATTATTATTATTTAATATTAATATTAATATTTATTAATATTTATGGATTTTTATAATAATAATTAATTAATATTAAAATACCATTATGGGGTGTTTGGTTGCAATGGTGGATTAGGGTTGAAGCTCATGGCTATTCCTAAGTTGAATAGGGTTTTAATTAGTTGCACTATATAAGTGAAACTTAATAAATTAAAACACAATAACAATTAATTCATTAATTAAAACCCTAGCCACCTACCTCCTCCTCTTTCACGTTTTTTACATTAGTGGAGAGAAAAATTCTTTTTCTCTTCTTTGATTCTTGAAGCCCATTATTGTTCTAGCAAAACAATACATTGGTTCTTTGGATTATCTTCATGTGAATCAACATTCGTGCGATTCCGTTCTTGAATTGATAGTGAAATCAAAGCCTTGAAGGAGCCTCCAGACGTTGGTAACTTATTCTAAATCCTTGTATGGACTTGCTATTACACAAAATTTTATTTTAACATGTATACAATATAATCGATACTCGAATCTTGGCAAAAAGGTCATTGATTTATCCTTTTATTTTTCTTTTTTCCGCTTTGTTGGATAGATCGATTACTTACAGATCAAAGATATTGGTTGTTGATGATGTTTTTATCAATTTGCATGAAAATCAAATATTTTTAAAACTATCCTAGTTGGAACGATTGTGCCTATTCATTGGAACGATCGTGCGTGTTGAATTCATTGAGTCATTTTTGAAAAACCAATGCATGACTGTGCTGAGTATCGCGTATGACTGTGCATGAGTTGGGTTGCCCTAACACTAAACTTCAACGTTAGTGGAACGATCATGCCCGATGGTTGCACAACCGTGCTGCGTGTTTTCTATATAAGTGTTGGTTCATTTTTCAGTCAAAAAACATTTCAAAAACTCTCTAAACTCAAAGTTTTTCACTTCAAATCACTTTAAACTCATCCCAAATCTCTCTAAACTCAAACCAATCACCCAAACACCATGAGGAGAACTAGAGGAGTAGAAAGACGAAGCAATGTGCCATTGATAAAGAATCTGAACGGACCA